TTATAGAAGTAAGACTGTATACACCTTATAGAGAATGCAGAATCCACAGAAACACATCAACACGTCGCTTCACTAACCAACAGGACTTATAAAGCAAGCGTCTGCCCCCCACAACTTCTGCTCAGTGAAGATTATCACAGATAATTCACTGTGACAAAGTATCATCCTGCGAAGTGTCAACCATCTATATTTGTTAAATATGACATCATAACATGATAGAAACATGAAAATAAGTAAAAATGTAAATCTTTATTAATAAGATGCTTAAATGCTTTTGTGATGTTTATAATCAAGCTGTCAACAAATCTGAACCTGCATGGGTCAGAGGACCTTATTTATATCCTACACTGATTACTTATGTTAATATTTTATTCCAACCTTTTCATTTTTGTTCACACTCTCAAGTCCAGACATAGAACCATAAGCAGTACAATTGCATTGCAATGTTTCATGTAAAAATCCATTTTTTAAACCAGTGCTAAGATAATGCTCCTCAAATGGAATGTTAGTGCCAAGCTAGTGGGGTTAGCAGATGACCTTTGAAGTACAGTGCTTTCTTGAGAGGTTTATGCTTGTAACATTACCGAGCTTCACTCGGCTGTACTCACAGCTGCAAACTGTGTACAGTCCCAGAAGCGCTTCAGGGACATTTAATGGGACATAAAATGATAACAAGTAAGCACGTTTCTTAATTTAGCTAAAACAGTAATGAACCCAACCAGATATTTCAGCTATAATATCGAAATACAGTTGTCAGGTGAAAAATAAGGATGAACAGTAAACAGAGACCGACTGAAGAGAAGTATTTTTGTGTGTCTGCTAATGTTTTGATTAGGAGTGGGCTAAAACAGAGTTAATGACATTTTGAAGTGGACGTACACAGATCAGCCTTAACATTAAAACCACCCTTGTTCCTACACCCATTGCCCATTTTATCAGCTCCACTTACCGTATAGGTGCATTTTATAGTTCTACAATTTCAGATCTGTTTCTCTGCATACTTTGTTGCCCTGTTCTTCAATGGTCAGGACTCCCTATGAAAATAATATACATATTAATAAATGGCAGATTATAATAAAAAAAATACCATCCTGTTTCCCAAAAAGTTTGATGGAATGTTTTTGGAATGTTTATTCTGCCTACAGAGCACTTCCATAGGCTATGTTTCCTCTTTCTATGAATTGTTAAATACTCTGCATTTGGCACTCGCTACTACCTAGCTACTAATCTCTCTGTGTTAGTACTGCTGCATCTGATTACTCCAGTTGTGATGTACACATGCAAATAAACTATGAATTTCACACCTGATCATAATGAAGGCATAATCTGCCTGTGAATATGTGAATATTTCTGGTTTTGTTTATTATCAACAGATTTCACATTAAAGCTACACTATGTACCTGCGTGATTCTGTGTTGAGCTGACTGCAAACTAATATACTGATAGAACTAGTGTAAAACTTAAGTTTCGTTTCTTCACGGTCTTACCGAGACTCTGGGCTAGGGGGTGGGTTCGATCGGCGATAGGTAGCGAGGACGAGGAAACAAAGAAGAGTGAAGGACTCGGCATTAGAGTTCGGTGGAGCCACTTTTAATGTAGAAAACACAACTGCTTCGGCTACTCGTTGCTGCAGGTCAGAGAGAAAACCATAACAATCCTTGGCTGCTTCTTCTACACACTCTCTCTCTTTCACTCTCTCTAACTCCACCCCTTTTACGTACATCACACTGATAACGTTCTTAATTTAACAGCAGCCTTAGTGACTAGAACATGTTTCTGTCACGCCTCCTTCAGACCTGGCTGTGCCTACAGCCAACATGGCTGCTCGGGACTACGCTTCCCAGAACCCCTCGCTGCAGCACATGATTCAGGACTCTCTCTGATCCGTCTATCCCTGTTCCAGTTCGCCTGACTACTGATTATCCACACCTGTTGCTTGTTATAAATGTTTGTTAGTTTAGTATATAAGCCCGGGCTTTAGCTATTCGCGAAGTATCTTCACGCATGTGTGTACTGAGCTATGTGGCTTGCCCTTTTGCTATTAAGGTATTGCTCTCAAGCCTCTGCTGTGAGCGTCTGGTTCCATCAGCTACTGTCACAGTTTCCAAAAAAGTTGGAACGCTGTGCAAAATGCAAATAAAAACAGAATGCAATGAGGTGCAAAAAATGTAAACCTTATTACTGCTTGACAACAGTATAAATCAAATCAAATGTTGAAACTGAATTTTTTGTTTTTTTGAAAAATGTATGCCCATTTGAATTTGATGCCAGCTACATGTTTCAAAAAAGCTGGGACAGGGGCATGTTCACCACTGTGTGACATCACTTCTACTTTTAATCAATCAATTAACCTTCATTTTCACTCAGAAATACATTGAGGGTGACCCTCATTTTCAATGCAGTCGAGCATTTACAAGGAAAAGGTATTGAAAAGAAATTAAAATGGGATTTAATCAGTTTAAACTAAAATAAACTGTCATGCCTTTTTCCAACATGGCTGAGCCTACAGCCAACACTACTGCTCAGGGCTATGTTTCCCAGAACCCCTCGCTACAGCATGTGACCCATAACTCTCACAGATTCACTTATCACCGTTCCACATCACTGGACTTCTAATTACTCACACCTGTTTCTTGTTTCTTGTGTTTGTTAGTTTAGTATATAAGCCTGGGCTTTAGCTTAGGTTCTTTGCGAAGTATTGTCACTCTTATATACGTACTGAGTGTTTCCACTGTGTTACTTTCTGCTACTCTGTGTATGACCCGTTTTCTTTTTACGACCACGTTTGTAGTCTTGCCCCTTTATTTTGTTCTGATTTTCTGGTTTTCGGCTCTTTGCTTCTGTTTGCCGACTGTGATTTTGGATATCCTCTTTGATATTAAAGTCTCTGCTGCGAGCGTCTGGTTCCATCTGCCACCATTACAGGATCCTTTGTCACCATGCAAACGGCAGACATGGAGGTGGTTAAAAAAGGTCCTGAGGAACCATGGTCAGCTCCTGGGTCATCATCAGCAGGTTCTGGCAGATGTTACTCAGTTGGCAACTTAACATAGCATCAAGCCGAGCAGCAGGCCCAGCTAACTTGGCTCCTGTCTGGGATCAAAGACATTGCTGCTCAACTGAGAGATCTCAAGGTCGCTGCACCTGCTCCTGCTTCTACTCCGGTTTCCCTTATGAACAATCCAGTTACCTTAGGTCAGATACAAACCATTCCAGTGAGTAAACCAGATAAATTTGATGGGTCTCCTGATAAGTGTAGGGTTTTTTGTTATAGTGCTCTGTTTATTTTAGTTACTACCCTGCTAGTACTGACCAGGCTAAAATCATCCACATGATGGTCATTCTAACGGAGAACTCTTGTGCAAGATCAAACAAGGTAATCACTTGGTGGCTGCTTACACTTTGGAGCTCCATACTCTAGCCGCAGGTAGTGGTTGGAACGAACCTGCACTTCTCATAGCATTCAGAAACGGACTGAATCCGGAAGTTTTGACTGAATTTGCATGCAAAGATGACCATTTAACTCTTAAATATATCCATATGCCTAGACCAACTTCTACTCAAGCGACCCTTGCACAAAAGTTCTCTCCACACTCACGTGATCTCCAGCTCCAGCTCCAGTTCTCAGTCCAACGGACAAGTGCTAGGTCCAGTTTCAGTTAAAGTTCCAGTTCGGCTCCGGAACCCATGCAGTGTGACACTTCCAGACTGTCTAGAGAGAAGAGGCTTCATCAGCTTTATGGGAGTCTGTAGATGTATAGACCACCGCAGTCGTGTCATCATTTTGTGGTCGGCACCATGCTCTTACGCCCATATTAGGAAATCCGGGTCTAAGCTCCATTCCTCTATGGCCAGAATGAATAGGGTTTAGCTTGCTCGGAGGATCCAGTAGAATTCGGGAGAAAAATGTTCACAGGACAAAACGTATCATGTTCTGAACATTTTTATTTAACCCAGGGTGCAATAGAGCCCCATTCATTCTGGCCATAGAGAAGTTGAGCTTAGACCTGGAGTTCCTATTACGGGCATAACGAGGACTACAGAATGACGCACGGCTACAGTGGTCTATTGTGGCGCAGCTGGTCACGTTTTATGTGACTGTCGGGCTTCCCTTCACATCCCTCCTTCCTCGGCCGTCCTGGACTCCTTGGGGGGTGGGGGTGGTAGGGACTGACATGCCTCCTTCTGACGTGACTGAGCCTACAGCAAAAGCTGCTGCTCAGGACTGCGTTTCCCAGAACTCACTGAACTCAGTGACAAATGGGTGTATGAGGCCTATTTTGTTACAGAAGTGGACCCAGTACTGAGCTCTGTGGTACACCAGCAAAGTCTTCAATTTAAATGTATCGAGTCAATTTAGAATGGGCCCAGAAAAACCAGTCTAGTCTGTGAAACAGTTAAGAGTCAATAGCAGGTAAATGCCAATAACATATTTGAATTCATTGTATTTTACCAGGGGTTCATTGTGTTTATACAACAAAAAAGTATGTGATCCAGTAAGAGTCAACAGTGCTGAAAAACACTGTGAAATTTTACACTTTATGGGAGACGGAACAGCAATATAATAGTACAGGATTTGGCAGACCAAGGTCAGGTTTTACAGAAAGTCATATGCAAAAGTTTGAACACCCCTGCTCAAATGATGTGTTTTGTTGATTTTCTAAGAGACACATCCTCTACAGAGAACATGCTTGGCATTTTCGGCAAATGTTACTGCACTATTTATGTTGATTTGATGAGATTCACAAGAAAATAAAGCATAGAAAACAGGTCACATTTTTTTTTTTTTTCCCCCAATATGTGAAATTTGGCAAATAAACAGCAATTGCACATAAACTGTGCAGAAGTGTGTTCTTTGTAGAGGATGTGTTAACGTCTTTTCACTTAGAAAGTCAAGAAAATACAAAACTTGACCAGGGGTTTCCCAACTTTTACACCAATTTAAAAAAGTAAAATCTAAATCATGATTCACTTTTCTCTTTTTTTCTTCCCTTTTCTAGGCCTCGCCCAGTAATGGACAGATACAAGCTCTTCCTAACTGGTAAAGTTTGCTTTCAATCATGACTTGCCTACATTGGGAAAGTGATTCGCAGCATATTTTTCAGAATACAAAACAGAAGTTTCAGTATCTTATCCAGCCATAAATTATCTCTTCCATTTGTAAACATCTTTAAAAGTGTTCTTAATAAATTCCTTTGCAGTGTGTATTGTATGTGCAGAAAGTGCCGTTGGTTGGTACAGTTTTGTCTCTCTGCTGTATATCTCAGGTGTTCAATATCCAAAAATATGTCCGGGAATTAGTGAATTCATGTGTGCTAACCAGCCCCACTATGTGGTTGGCTGGCATGCGTTATGAGAATGGTTGACACAATGTTAAAAAGTGACAGTTTTGAAGAATAAAGCAAAAATAGAAATAATCTGAGCTTTTAATTTAGACCCAGCCACAATATTCATTCATTGGTTTGTACTGAAAAACTGTTAGTAAAACATCACTGGGTCACTTTACAATTTCATTACCCTTGCGTTACAATCTTTTTCATGTTTAGATGATTAAACATTGTTTTGTAAAAATTCTTATTAAAGAATTTTTTCTTATTAAATTAAAAAAACAATAATAATACATGAATAGTTTGGGTTTAAATTTGTTATATTCACCTTGATAAAGACTCACTTATTGTAAAATGGCATGACACTTACAGGTAAAAACAACTTGATACAAATGCATTTAACGTTTAACATTAACAGTGATAAACACCGACCGGCCACATTATTAAAACCTCCTCCTTGTTTCTACACTGCTCCACTTTCAGTCTGTAGTCTATCCACTTTGTAGTTCTACAATTACAGTCTGTAGTCCATCTGTTTCTCTGCATACTTTGTTAGCCCACTTTTACCCTGTTCCTCAGTGGTCAGGTGGTCCTCAGTGGTCAGTGGTCATAGGACCACCCCAGAGCAAGTACTATTTGGGTGGTGGATCGTTCTCAGCACTGCAGTGACACTGACGTGGTGATGGTGTATTAGTATGTTGCGCAGTGTCTGATCCACTCGTGCTCAGCATCGCTCGAGTTTTTTGAACATGCTCCAAAGTCACAGAGAAAAACACCACTGACACAAAACACAAAAACATTAACTGACTTTCAAAGTTAAGAACATTTTTGCCTTCTCATATAAAGCTGCTGTTTTGGAGATTCTTTGGACAGCAATGATATGTTTGTGACAGTAGCTCAACACTCCGGCAACCTTAAACATGGGTCAGCCAACCCCAAAATCAATGTGCCAATCAACCCCACCCACATCAGGACAACTGCACATAACCAGCATTGCGCATTGTTGACTTCCATATGTCAAAATAAAGCTAATTGACATTTTCAATTAACTAAATTGATTTTCAATTTCTATAATTGACTTACTCAGGGAGACACATTTATTGTTTTGTTTTTGTTTTTTGCCTTTTTCCCCACCTTAACATACTGTAACATTCAGAGCTCTTTATAAAATGGATGAATGTTGGTCAAGAGGGCGATCATTATTATGTGAGAGCTCCCCCTACTGGATCAGAGCACAAAACACCTCATGGGGCCAGTATAGGGCCTTTAGCAATTTATGATGGAGTTTTTAGAATTGCCTCTATTTATAATCTCAAAGAATTAGAGGTCTCAAAAGAAGAGGTCTTCTAAATTTAGTACACATTGACCGTTTAATCTCAGTTAAATCTCAGTCAAGTCAAAAAAGCAGTACAGGTTTTGATATGACTTGTATTGGCACAGTTGGTGAACTCACTGAACAGAATCTCTCTACAATACTTGTTTCCATGTGTTTTATTCTGAGAGTGCACCTTCATTTTATGGTTAAAATCAAAACATTTCTCATGATGAACCAAGCCTTTCTCCAGGCCTTCCTTCAGAGGGATTGTTTTCTGAACTTGTCACCTTTTCCGCTGCTTATGAATTTGCATGCCAGTTTAAAGAAAACCTCAAAAATAATGCAACTATTTTAATACACTCTGTCATCTTCTCTCTTCTTCTCCACAGTTTCAGTGCTGAGCTGTCTGAGTCATGGCTGGGAGGTTCAGGTGCCACAATCAGTTAAAGCTGTTAAGGGCAGCTGTGTGATGATATCGTGCCACACCAGCTCACACAGTCACGTGAATTGGTACAAGTATAAAGGTGTAGGGTACCCTGTAGTGTATTCTAGAAACACTGCAGATATAATAGCTGAGTTTAGAGGAAGAACATCAGTGCCTGGAAGTCCCAGTCAGGGAGACTGCAGCTTAAAGATCAACAATGTCCGCCAGGAAGATAACGGAATAAGCCTGTATCCATGGATCTATCCAGAGACATCTAGCAACCAATATAAATACATCCTAATAAATGTTGGTGAGTATACAAACAATGCAAACACTCAAAACTTGCAGCCAGGAAAATCATATCATCATAAAATCAATATGCATCATATAATATCATGTAAAAGACAACATTCTTGTTTTCCTGTGATCTAAAACGTCTTCTGAGTTTTGATTGCATCACCGTGCACCAGCAGGCTGGCACAATGTAACATTACTCAACAATACTATATTTCACCCCCCCCCACCGAACATCAAGAGGAAACCCCCAGCTAGCTCAGAGACCCTCCTCAATACCATGTTTTACAGCTACGTTATGGTACGAAAGGAAAATGTGCTACGATTTTGTCACACTTCCCTCCGTTCCCGCTGTCTCTGGCCTCCCAGCCCCCGAACTCCATTTCCCAGAACCCCACTTCTGTTCATATGACTACCAACCTCCCCCACATGACTCTCCAACGTTCTGCCTCGCTTGTCTACTGATCACTCTCACCTGTTCCTTGTTATTGTGACCTGTTAGTTTAGTATACAAGCCCAGGTTTCAGCTGAGCACATTGTAAAGTATTGCCTTTGTTATAAGAGCCTTCTATTTTGTCTGTTTGCCATTTTGTGTATAAACATTGCTTTGTTTTTCTTTGACCTTGCCCTCTCAGTATTGTTGTGTTTTCTGGTTTGACCCTGTTTCTGTTTCTTGGACATTTTGCTTTTTGGACTCTCCTCATGGTTACTGTTTTGGGTTTTTGACCTTGGACTGGCTGACTTTGATTACGAATACTCCCTTTGATAATAAACCCTTTTTACTTAAGTGTGGCCTGCAAGCGCCTGAATTCTGTCCAAGCCTGACAGATTTCCCACCCACATTAAATCACTTCAATAAGTAATAATACAAGTAATTATGATTTTGGACTACAACAGTCTTCTGACCAATTAATATTAATATTTGTGCTTTGATTCCAGTGAACCCTGAGATTAGCATTTCCGTAGAGAACTCACGAACGGAAGGAAATGTATTCTCTGCCACCTGCACAGTCCGACATTCCTGTCCTTCGTCCCCTCCACCAGTGGAGTGGATGGGTTTGTCTTACGTTTCTAACAAGGTGATCAGCAACACACCCTCAGGAGGACTGTGGACTTCAGTGACCCAAGCACAGTTCAAAGCAACCTATCTAGACAACAGGAGGACGCTCAGCTGCAAGAGTACATTCAACGGCAATTCTATATATAGTACAACTGTTACACTCAGCATCTTCTGTAAGTCTACAAACTGCCATGTTTTCTTCACTTTATGTTGTTAAAAGTTTTGAACCTTTTGTTTTTTTCTTTCTGCCACTCATTACGCTTCTTTCTTGTTTTATAACAATATGAATAATATAAATAATTTAAGTTTTATAATATACACTGACTGTCAAAAAGAATTGCTGACAGTTTTTTTTGTAATAATTGAAATTACATATTAGAAAGTGAATGTAAACAAAGGAAATAGACAACGAAGCATGTTAACAGTATTTTGTAGGTCTGTCTCTAGTCACCAATTGGTTGTTAGTGAGATAAGGCTAGTTTTACAGGTCTGGATTAAGCCTAAGCCTAGACTAAAGGGAATTTCCAGTGTTGATGTACCATTGACTCTGCAGTATTGTTCAAGATTAGACGTAGCCTCTTTCTGCAAGCCTTCCAGTAATCACTCCAGTGGACTTGTGGTGACTCTGTGTTTAACTGTTAGTGAGCGATGAGGGGTGAAAGACGAGGGGTAATAACCCTAAGCTCTGAAAACGATTCACTTCTCTCCACCCGGCAATGAAAAAGAAAAAAAATTGCTTAGCTCAACTGATGGAGCTCCAAAACATTAGGAATTTACATTTTAGGGCTACTGTGAACAAGGGTAACTAATGTCCAGGAAACTGGCCTCTAGTGTCGCTTGCCCTGCTAACTTAAAATCAATTTTACCAGAAGCAGAGATTTTTTTTTTTTATTGTAACTATCCATCAGAGAAGGCTCCACTATGCAAGCTCTAAAAGCTTTAAAGCACAGCTACTAACAAATGATAACACTATTTTGCAATACTTTGAAGTTTTATAAATGATATAAATACATGATTTTTCCTGCTGTTCACTGACTATTCAGATGGATTTTTCTTATTTCCCAAAATAACTGTAAACCTTCTTAATGGGATTTAAATCTAGTCATCCAAGCCAAAGCATCACCTGAATGTCCTCCATCTCAAACCACTTCAATGACCTGATGAGCAGAGTAGCATCTCACCTTTAAGAGAACAGAGGAGATAACCCCATTCAAAAACATTGAAAACAGTGTTAAACATCAGTGTGGCATAAGTGCAAAGGATGCAGTTCTTCTTCACTGGCAGAATAGATTGTTTATAAAAAGGCATTTGTTAATATCTATGTATTTTAGTGGACATTTCACTGAACCTGTACTACTGAACTCATCTAACTCTAGACTGTTTACATGGAAATAGTTTGTAGCCATAAGAAATGCAGCGATAAAATATAATAAACAAAAATAAAATACATAGAAAATAATCTGTATTCACTATCATTATCTCCACAGACGCCCCCAAAGATGTGAAAATAGATGGAGCTGATAGAAGTGTGGTTGAGGGTGGTACGATCTCACTCACATGTACTAGTAGAAGCAACCCTGAACCAACTGACTACGAGTGGCTTATCACCCAAAAGGGTTCCCCCACGACCAAAACAGCACCAAAAACGTTTTCCCTTGGAGATGTGAAACGAGACACATCAGTCTCCTGCACTGCCAAGAACTCAGCTGGAAGAGGTCAATCAGTGTCAGTACTGCTGAATGTCCATTGTAAGTACTTCCTTGTTTGTTTTGATAATATAAGTGTTGCAGTCGAGACCGCGAGGCGAGTCTTCAACAAGGAACACTCAGTTAGGCCATTCTGGAAATATCACTTAGATCCTCAATTAACAGATACTATTTAAGCATGTACAGCAGTGGTGTTCAAGCTGTGGACTGTGCCCCCCAGTGGCACATGATGGTACTGGTGTTTTTTTTGGGGGGGGGGTTTTGTTTTTTTTTACAGCAAGAATTAGTTACAACGTAGGCATTTTACCAAATATAATTTTAAATATGAAAAATATTATTGATTTTTTTGTAAAAATACTATATTTATATTGGATTGTTCTGGCAAACTGCTAGCTAGTTATGTTTATATTTTCAGTGCAAGCACAACCGAAACAAAGGAAATACAGCTATGAATATGTAGTGCTGAGCTTCATGTGTGTGAAAGTCTGTTTGTCTAAATCACAGTCTCTCTGATGCTAACAAAACTAGCTAGTGGGCTAGCAGGCTGTTCTTTGAAAAACACTGTCCAAAGGAGCTCAAACTCATTCGTCACGTCACTGGACTTTTCTCTGATGGCGTTCCAACTAAATGTTCATTGAACTGCGTGGCTTGTAAGTCCTTTAGTTCTTTCCCATCAATAAATCTTTTTTAATAAAAAGTCTTTTTGGCTAAACTTTGTTGAATTATGAGAAATGAGCTAATATGGGGTGAACGTTCACTGCTGCGAGTCACCCTGTAAAGCATTAAATAACAATTTAAAAGTCAGAGCTGTTGGATCAGATTTTGCGGAAGTTTTTTTGACCATATCATACATCCTTATACATTAACATCACATGCAAAGACTTAAAAAGAAGCACTGACTGCATGTTCAGGTCTCAAGTTTTGATTCTTTAACATTTAACTTATGCTCCAGGGTATATTTTGGTTTGTCCATCTGAATTTACACGACCAAATCTTAAGGCAAATTATTCAGTAACTGCATGAAATAAATGCAAATTTTTATTTTATTTATTTATTAATTCATTTTAAAAGCTCCCCTCAGATTAACAGAACGTGTTTTATGATCATACACATATTGCTATAGGCTTACAATTTACTGCTGAAAGCCAAAAATCTTAGACGCTCTTTGTTCTATTTTATAAAAATAATTTGTACAGAGCAGATCACTGAAGAGACGCCATCTGTTTATAGTTTATAGCCCAGATTTGTGGAAAAATGGGTCGACTTTCAGTAGAAAAAAAAATATTTTTCAGCTTCTTTTATTATAAGGGTTTAAAATTACATCACCCATCTATTTGACTGGAAAGAAGACAGTTACAGCTCTCATATGACCCCCACCTTTCGAATGTAGCTTATGACAGTTATGAAGAATACGACGAAGTGCGTTTTGGAACCAACGGTGGTCCCAAGGAGCATAAGAGGCGACATACTTTTTCAACACACTCGCAATAATCAGATTCATCCGCTCGGGGAAGGGGTCCAAAGCATAACCAGTGTTTTGTTTTCTGCTGATTTGTCTGTCATTTTAAATAGATTTATCTATAAACCATGTGCATATAATTTGTTTTTTTTTCAAGCAAAGCACCTCATGGACATAGCTTTATAGCTATAAGCACTCAAGTAGCTTTTGAAACTAGCTTTATGTTCTTTCGTAAGATTAGAGCCAACATTTTCCAAACTATTCATCTCAGTTGTGGATGACCACAGGCAAAAAATACAGCAGCAGTGTTATGGAGTGGTACTTGGTATCAGTGACACTGTGTGAACAGGGCAAGGCAGTATAGACCTCTGAAGTCATGGAATATTCTGTAGTCAGTATCATACCCATATCAGAAACTCAGGTCTGAACTAGTTTTCTCTATAAGAGAAATGAATGGCATTTTTGAAAACTCTCATGGTCGTGTCCTGTGTCAGCCAGCTGTGACATTACGTCTTTTGTAAATCTAGTTATCCTGGTCATCACCTAAATTTCCTCCATGTCAAATCACTTAAATCACCTGAGGAGCAGTGTGGCATCTCACCTGTAAGAGAACAGAGGAGATAACCCCATTCAAAGACATTAAAAACAGTGCTAAACATCAGTGTGGCAGAAGTGCAATGGAAGCAGTTCTTTTAGACTAGCAGAAGAGGGCGCATTTCAGTCAATCCACTATAAATTTATGGTTTAAATTCTGTCAAATGTTGTTTACAAATATGTATTTCAGGCCACTGAATTCAGCTGACTTTGGATTGGACTGGTTACGATGAAGTAGTTTGCAAGCCATAAGAAATGTGTCAATAAAATATACAATCTGTATTCCCTGTATCTCCACAGACGCCCCTGAAGATGTGAAAATAGATGGCGCAGATAGAAGTGTGGTTGAGGATGGTACGATCTCACTTACGTGTACTAGTAAGAGCAATCCTGCACCAAATGAGTACAAATGGCTTGTTACCCAAAAGGGTTCCACCACGACCAAAACAGCACCAAAATCGTTTTCCCTTGGATCTGTCAAACGAGACACGTCAGTCGCCTGCATTGCCCAGAACTCCGTTGGAAGTCGTCAATCAAATCCAGTGCTGCTGAAAGTCCATTGTAAGTATTTCCTTGATTGTTTTGCTAATATAAGTGTTAGTCAAGACTGCTAGAGCAGAGTCTGAGTCAAGACCGAGACTAGGAGCGGCCGAGACCAGGACCAGATTAAGATATTTTTCAGAATATTAAAAAATAAATGATAAATGTACTTTCATTTTCATTAATAATACATTATATATTAATGCATAATATAGATCTCATTTGTTATAAAACATAAATATTTAGCCTAAATTATTAATTATTATTATATTATAGTCTTAGTCCAACTTTGCATTGTAACTGGAAGCAGTCATAAGGTTATATTGTATATGTTCTTTGCTGAAACCATTTTTGTTAATAAATAAAAACACAGTAATAATAACATTCCAATCTGCCCTCAGGGAATGTTAGAATTGGAACTTCATCTCAACCAACAGATTTTATTTAAGTATATACAGCAGTGGTGTTCAACCTGTTGGCTGCGGCCCCCAGTGGGCTGTGGTACTGCTGTGGTACTATGGTACGCCAATGTTTCGTACTGCTAGAGGGCCGTAGGCAATCAGCTGATTTAACAGCAAAAATTTGTTACAATATATGCATTTAACCAAAACACTATTTTAAACATATTCGCAAAAATAAAGCATTATATTTATCAAGCTCGTTGATTTATTCTGGCAAACTGTTATCTAGTTATGTTTATATATTCAGTGGAAGCATAACCAAAACAAAGGCAACACAGCAATCAATATGTAGTGCTGGGCTTTCTGTGCATGGAAAACAAGTAACTCAGTAGGAGATAATTCACTCACATCCTGGGAAAACACCTACCTTACCAAGTTTTGACTTTTTGAATGCTGTTTCAACACATGCAATAATCAGATTCATCCTCTCGGGGAAGGGGTCTGAAGCACAACCACGTTCTGCTTTGTCTGCTGCTTTGTTTGTAATTTGAAATGAACCATGTGCATATATATAATCAATACGGTGTTGTTTCCTTGCAAAGCACCTCATGGATCTAGATTTTAACTCGGACTCACTTAAGTTAAAGTTAAGTTCTTATATTTATATTATTATTATTTTTTTATTATTATTTTTATTATTCTATTTTTCTACAATTAGTGTTTATTTTATTTACAATTAGTGTTTAGTATTTACACTATGGGGTCTGAGAGTAACGCAATTTCAATACTCTGTATGTCCTGTACATATTGTAGTATTGACAATAAAAGCTGACTTGACTTGACTTGAAGGCTATAAGCACTCAAGCACATTCTGGCATAAGGTCATGATAAGGAAAACAATCCCTCTGTCTGCAAGGATGTGGATGACCATAGGCAAAAAAATGCAGTGGTGGTGTTATGGAGTGGTACTCAGTATCAGTGACACAGTGATCCTCTCCCTGACTCCAATGCATGTGACCCTCACCCTACCTGCATTAGCCAATTGTCAACAGCTCTCCAGATCCTGGTCACCTGAATACTAACCAGCCACACCTGACTGTCATCATTACACCCTATAAACGCTTCAGTTTGTTCACAACTTTGCTGGGTACTGCCGCTGATCGTTCTTGTGCATACCGAGTGTTCTTTTCTCTACTGCTGCTCTGTGTTTGACCTGGCTTGTTTTTTTAACCTTGTTTTTTTATTCATCTTTTTTTAGCTTAGTCTACATTTTCTTGAGCCTCTCTTTGGTTTTGTCACTCTCCTGTTTTACTACATCATGTTTGATTGACCCTTAATTACAATAAAGCTTTAAACGTTTGTTTTTACCACAAGCATCCAGTCTGTTCTGTCACATTCGTCTGATTTGTTAATATCCATGTATTTTAGGCCACTACCTGTGCTACTCAGCTAAGTCTGGGACTGTTTACAGTGAAAATAGTTTGTAGGTCATAAGAAATGCAGCAATAAAATATACAATCTGTATTCACTGTATCTCCACAGACGCCCCTGAAGATGTTAAAATAGATGGAGCAGATAGAAGTGTGGTTGAGGGTGGTACGATCTCACTGACGTGTACTAGTAAGAGCAATCCTGAACCAACTGACTACGAGTGGCTTGTTACCCAAAAGGGTTCACCCACGACCCACAGAGCACCAAAAACGTTTTCCCTTGAAGCTGTCAAACGAGACACGTCAGTCTCCTGCACTGCCCGTAACTCTGTTGGAAGAGGCCAATCAGCGCAAGTACTGCTGAATGTCCACTGTGAGTATTTCCTTGTTTATTTTGTTAATAAAAGTGTTGTGAACATATATAACATTTTATGTTGTAATATGTTTCATAAAATATAACATTGAATCATATGCTGCTTCTAACTTTACTGTCATTATATTATGGTCTTAGTCAAACTGCATTGTAACTGGAAGCAATGGTGAGGTTACTCTGTGTCCCTTCGTCTCTAAAATATATTCAGAATCAGCACTTAAAGTCAACCGAACGTAAACCAAACATCATCTACTTTTGTTATTACATAAAACTATAGTGATAAAAACATTACAGTTTGCCTTCAGAGGATGTTTGCATTGGAACTTCGACAGTGAATACTCAGTTAGGTTATCCTGGAAATAACAGTAAGATCCTCAACCAATAGATTTTATGTAAGCATATACAGCAGTAGTGTTCAACCTGTGGGCTGTGGTGGTACTGCTAGAGGGCCTTTGGCCATCAGTTCCTTTTCAACAGCCAAAATGTGTTACAATATAGGCATCTCAGTTTAAATACGACAAATGTTGTTGATTATTTGCAAAATATGATTATTCTGGAATACTGCTAGCTAGATTTGTTTATATTTTCAGTGCAAGTATAACCAAAACAAAGGAAATACAGCAATGAATTTGTAGCGCTGGGCTCATTTTGTCCTATAATGTTTTGTCCTTTGTAAATCTAGACCACCTGAATTTCCTCCACCTCAAACCACTTAATTTGCTTGAGAAAAAGCATAGCAATAACCCCAATTTAAGGACATTAAAAACAGTGCTACACATCAGTGTGGCATAAGTGCAATTGAAGCGGTTCTTTTTGACTAGTGGAAGAAAACTCATTTCAGTTGATTCATTATAATTAACAATCTGTATTCACTGTATTTCCACAGACGCTCCCACAGAAGTGAAAGTAGATGGAGGTGATGTAAGTGTGGTTGAGGGTGGTACGGTCTCGCTCACATGTACTAGTAAGAGCAATCCTGCATTAACTGACTATGAGTGGCTTGTCACTCAAAAGAGTTCCACAACGACCCACAGAGCACCGAAAACGTTTTCCCTTGGATCTGTCAAACGAGACACGTCAGTCTCCTGCGTTGCCCAGAACTCTATTGGAAGAGGTCAATCAGCGCCAGTACTGCTGAATGTCCACTGTGAGTATATCTTTGTTTGTTTTTTGTTAATATTAGTACTGTAGTCAACACAGCTAGACCCAAGGCCGTGTCAAGACCGCGATCGGGACGGGGACATATCAAGCTCGAATCGAGACCAAGACTAGGAGTGGCCGAGGCCAAGACCAGATTAAGATTTTTTTCAGAATAGTACAGAATAAATAAATACATATACAAATAAATACATAAATGAAAAGTTAATTGTACATTCATACGCATTATATTATATCTCATAGTATATTTTAGGAAATACTTCTGATTCATCTGATTTTAAAATGATTTATTTCACTTTTAAATCATTACAGAACAATGCAGTGAATTGTAAATATTTTTAAGTGAGCATAAAGTTTATGTAATTTTACAAGTGCTTAATATGAACCTCCTCCAGCTGTACAGACAACATCAACGCCATAGTCAAATTCATCCCATACTGGATTGAGCATGTGGGGTGTCACTGTACTCACGGCTCTTTCAATGCAATTTCGGAGATCATCCAGTGTTTTGGAACCAGCGACGAATGCTCTGAGCTGTTTGTAGTTCACTGCCGGCGGAACTCACGTTGCACAGTTATGACGGATTCACTCTTATTGAAGTGTAGAACACAAAATGCTTTCTGCTCAGGGGTCGCATCTCCTCGCAGACTGAAGGGAGTCACCTTCCGGTGACAGTCAGAAACTCTATGACCCCCTCTTTCAATTGGTATGTGATTGGTTCCTAGATGCCTCGCGGTTGTAAAAATATGGTGCTTTGAAATCGGACAAATCTTTTTGAATCACCCTGTTTAATATTAACTTAGATTCAATTAGATATATGTGAAATATAGATATAGGTGCGAATGTACGGTGCAAATATAACCAAAACAAAGAAAACACAACAATGAATATGTTGCACTAGACTTCATATGGGTCGCAAGTGAAAGTAAATAACTCTGGCTCTATGCTGTTTGCTCGGGTGTCTTTTCGAATGAAGCTTTGAAAACCAACAAGTTACACTGCCATTGAGAGACTAAACACAGTGAATGTTTCTAAACCTGACGAACTGAGCCAGAACTCCATCTGCAGCTTTCCTTTTCTTGGTCTGATGTCCAGCACTTGGTAGCTGCCAAATTAGCCTTCTCATTATGTGAGTGAGGAGACAAACAATCTGATAGGTTAAATCCATGCAAGCTTTTCTGTTTTTTTTGTGTGGGTGACAAGATGTAGAGGAAGAACTGTTATCATTTTTATTCTGGTTTTGTTGTATTCAGTGATGACTTTGCTTCTGGTTACCTCAGACGGAGGCATCCTTCTTGGCTCATCACGACAACAATTTCCAAGTACATCTGACCCCATGACCGAGACAAGTCCGAGTCCTAATGAGGTCAAGACCCAGACGAGACCCCAAATAGTTTACGATCCTGAGACCGGACATGAGTATCACAATACTGGCTAATTTTGTATTAGAAGTCAATACAAAAGTCAACGTATGATGTAGGACTTAAAAAGGAAGTCTTGGCTCTACGTTTAGGTCGTACCAAGTTTGGACTCTTTGAATACTCTTTCAACAAACTCGCAATGATCAGATTCATCCGCTTGGGGAAGGGGCCCAAAACACAACCCACATTACGAAATGGTCTGCTTTTTCTGTTCTGCTTTGTCTGTCACTTTAAATGAATAACATTTATAAACTATGTGCATATAATGAAGTTGGTGTTTTTCCATGCAAAGCACCCCATGGACCTAGCTTATAACTCAGTTAAGTTAACTAAGCAGGCTAAAACTTCTCCACACAAGGGAGATATAAGCACTCAAATAGATTTTGGAACTGGCTGTTCCGATCAGGAAAACATTAGCTCTATCATCTAGGTTGTGTATGACCACAGGCGAAAAAGCAGTGACGGTATTATGAAGTGGTACTTAGTATCAGTGACATTCTTTGAACAGGGCAAGGCAGTATAGACCTCTAAAGTCATGCATCATTCTATAGTTGGTGTCATACCCATATCAGGAACTCTAAACTATGACTAAACTGGTTTTACATTTCACTGGATCCTATTAATTACAACTACAAATGTGATCCAAGGAAGTGAACTCACACTGAAGTGACATCACACAAAAGTAAGTCTACTATTAACTTCAACATTGTGATATACCAACACCAGGTACTCACACTGAAGCCTAAAACTGCCATAGTCTTTTAACTACAACAATTGACAAAGCCTGCTGGTTTGTGTGGGGTATTATTGTGAGGTTGTCATTCTTATAGAGTATCAGTTGTATATTAGTTGTATTGAACCTTGTGATTCAAAGAATCTGACTATGTTCAGAAGAAAAGCCTATGTGGAAAGACGTTTCCACTTTGGAACGTTTTAGTTCACAAGCGATTTGTCAAACTACAGCTTAGACTCCTACAGTTCCTAATATAGGCATGACGCCAACTACACAATGACGACACAGCTTCAGAGATCTATGAAACTTTTAGAGTGATGAATAATGCTCTCCCCGCAAAACCTGACCGTGTTTCTGGGTCAGCCAGAGGACAATTCATTTCTGTCATAGAGATTTCCAACTGGCGATTTGACTACAGATGTCTGTAAGACTGGGTCACTGTGTTAGAGCAAGGAATAACGGCACCACTCCTTCTGCTGGCAATACATGAAGTTTGCGATACTGTACTTCATGCATCTTTAGCCCTGGTTAACATGTTAAGCAGTACAGCTTTAAGACTCAGCAGTCATGTTCTGTGTCTTGTGTTTTCCTATGTCTCAGTTCCTCCCACCATCCTGATGGACTCAACATGCTTTAGGTCAGCTGGAGGTGTCCAGTGTGTGTGTCGAGCGGAAGCAGAGCCCAAAGCTAACATCTTCTGGACAGTTAATGGGAGCAGCGCTCTCTTTCCACACTTCAACACAACGTCTAAATATGCTGGAAGAATAGCAGTGTCGGAGCTTACAGGACCACTAGCCAGCAACGTGTCCTGTAATGCGTCCAACATCGTGGGGACAGACTCTTATCAGATGCCAATGCAGCAGTCACTGTTAGAAGGTAGTGCGTTTCGAAATGATGTGTGAGTGAAAAAAAAAAAAACACTAGACAGACCTTACTGTGTCCTTAATGTAAAGATATATACAGCTATATAAAGCTATATATATAAATATAAGATTACTGCAGTTAAACACTCATTTCTCAAAATCCAAGTGGCCCAAAACAAACAACAAAAGTGTCTTTATTTAGATTTATTGGATAACAAAACAACAAGAAAATACTTTAGTCACTGTGACACCTTGGCAGGTTAAATGGGAAGAAATATGGTAGGGACAGGTGCAGAGATACAGAGGATAATTTTACTCTAACATAAATATAAACTTTGAGCATTCTGCTCTACATGACATAAAATAAAGACTGTTCAAAGCTCAGCTGTGACTTGGACTTGGTTTTCCTCTCTCTCTGTGTTTCTACTGAGAAAAGAAAGGCATATAAGTAGATTATGACACAATTACACACAGGTGAACGACAGTCAGTCCGCTGCCTCGCTGCAACCGGCCCTCCGCCGCACAAACTGCGCTTGACAATGCTCCCCTGCCACATACCACTACCACCCAATGCAGGCCAGACAACAATCTGGCCAGCAGCCTGCACCCTCCATCACACACACAGACTGGAGAGGAAATCAGCCACCACATCTGGGCCTCCTGCCTGTGGACCACCTTTAACTTCAAAGGCTGTAAAGCCAGATACCAACAGGTGATCCAGGCACTGGCATCCTTCATGCGCTGGAGCCATTGGAGCGGGGCGTGGTCTGCATAGAGGGTGAAAGGGCATCCTAACAGGTAACAGCAGAGAGGAAGGACTGCCCACTTAATGGTGAAGCACTACTTTTTAGTGTGCTGTACTTGCTGGGGGCCAGCTAGACAACTAATGTATAGCACCGGGCGATCTTCCCTGTCCGTTATCTGGGACAAAAGTCCAAGGCATCAATCTGCAGGGTAAAAAGGAGAGAAAAGTCAGGGGAGTGTAACAGCAGACCCCCACAGAGAACTGCCTTCAGTTTTATAAAAGCCTGCTGACACTGCTCCCGACTTTTTCTGGGATAGCTGTTGCTAGAGCAACAGAGACCACCTCCCTTAATGGTTTAAGGAGGTTTGAGATGGTATAGCGTATCACCTCTATCAGATCATTTTACCTCATTCCCTCAGCTGATGCCCCTGTTGTATGTAAGGCTCTGCCACTCTTGAGCCTGGGGCAAATTCTCCTGAGTTAAGTGTCCCAGTACGTGGACTTTTGCTTGGAGATCAAAAACATACCGAATTTTGTTTTTGCTGCTTGAAAGCCCTCCCAATGTTCACAGATGACTTTGTACACCCCAGAGTTTTTCCCCACATAATAACTCAGAAGGGGAAAACCCCATGGGGTTTCAGACACCTGTCCCAGTTCCTTGCAACCTCATGCACAAACTTACAAATCATATTATTTCAAGGTCTGATTAAATCGTTTGATCAGCCTGTGCATTTGTGGATGGTAAACACTGTTGGATGTAATTTCAAGGTATCGCACTTAGACTAATACAAAACAGTGCCCTCGAGCACTCTGGTCTAATGGTCTGATTACTTATCAACTTGACACAATTTGTGGCAAGTGTGTGATGATTTAGGGATGCAGTTAGCACAGTGCTACTTGGTGAACATAAGCTTCCAAGAGCTACATTAACCTCGTAGTTCCAGTGTAAAACTAAAGAAGCAAACTTCAGGCACCAAATACATCACATTTTGAATTGCATAAACTGTATAAATGATTTAAGGAACTACTGTCTTCATTCTTTTTTCCATAATTTCCAGGAAACTCTGTACTAATACTAGCTGCAGTAGTGGCTCTGGTGTGCATCATCCTAGGAATTGCTGTGGTGGCTATCTGCTTAAAAAAGAGGTACAGTTTACAGACATGTCTCTTAGTCTTGCTAGTGGACTGACAGGACTGCATACATGATCTTAACAAAACGGCAAAAAAATCTAATTTACACAATTTTCCACTTCAGATTTTCTCGGCCGGCCGAGACATGTTTGGTGTTTGAATTGTAATTCTTTATTTACACATTGGAGCTATGAGGCTAATGTGTCCTGTTGACTACATCTGGGGTAAGTGGAAAATTGTGCAAATTAGATTTTTGCCGAACTGTTCTCATAAAGCTGTGCTAATGTAAAACCCAGCAGCGTCCTTCAGTAAGGCAATGAGTGTCTTTCATGGAGGTTTAAAGTTCACACTGTCTGTTTTCTGTTTTGCAACAGACACCAGCTTCCAGCTGACTCCACCTTCAGGTAACAGAAAGTAGTAACTGATTGCCATGTGTCTGTTCAGATAGATAGATTAGTTAAGAAATAGGAAATGATTCACTGTCTCATCAGCAATGATAAAGTTCACTTCTTAAAGAAAAGGGAATAACAATTGCTTCATGTCTGCATGATCATTTTTCAGCTGTATTTTGTTGTAAGGTGTGACTAATGACCATTGACTTTGTGGGTTTAGGTCATGTACAGAGTCCAGTGGAAAGAGTATCGACCAGTTTAGGACTAATGACTTGAATCTTAATGACAATATCTATGTGAACAATGAAGCTGAAGAGGATATCTATGCTAACACCATGGACACTCCACAGTCAAACAAGGTACAACATCTCTCAAAAATGACTCTAAAAGACCATCATGTTATTATTAACCCCTTCATGAGCTGAGCACTGTTCATTCTTAGGCTGGCCATACACTGTGAAACTTTCATGCAACTAGTTGCCGGTTGTGAGTCACCTTTAAAATAATTTCTGTACAACTTGAAAGTTACATGAAACAACTAAAAGCAAAGTTGCATAAAACATATTTTATTAGGATGGCTGTACACCATGACCATGCAACAAGCTGCATGTTGTAAGTTTCCTTCAACAAAATTTCAGTGCAACTTGACGGTTACACAAAACAATTTAAAACCAAGTTCACTAAAACATATCTAATAAGGCTGGCCTTGTTCTTTGAGAATTCCATGCAACTCGTTGCATGTTGTGGGTTGCCTTCAACAAAATTTAGTGCAAATTGGTGGTTACATAAAACAATTAAAAACAAAGTTGCACACAACATATTTTTATTAGGCTGGCTTTACACTGTGAAACTTTCATGGAACTAGTTGCATTTTGTGAGTTGCTTTCAGCAACTTGACAGTTATATGAACTTGACAACAACATGAAACAATTAGAAAATTTGGATTACTCTACTAGTAAGGCAAAATAGTAGCTTGCATTTTTGATACACCTTATTATTCTGCCTGTAAAGTCATCTACAAGGTGTTAGATACATATTTTTATCATCTTCATTAATTTTTTTTGCATTTTTTTTCTGTGATTGCCATTCTTTATATATATATGTATGTGTATATATATATATATATATATATATATATATATATATATATATATATATATATATATATATATATATATATATATATATATATCTTTTGTCTGTCTAACTCATTAGTATGTAAAGCAGCTGTTTACAAAAAACATTAGGTTCAAGAAATTCTCATTTGTTGTCATGGCTCAGTAAACTGACTTACCACAACCTTTTTATCCTGGTTTATCCTCAAATAAACCAGCTTCTGTTTATTTTCTTGTCCATTGTTCTGGAGAAAACAATAGTTTGAAACGATGCCCTTTACTGCGATCTGCGTTTTGAATGGAGTATGCAACTCAAACACAATTTAGTTTCATGGAGGTTTCAAGCAGCTAGAGTTGCATGAAAGTTTCACTGTGTAAAGAGAGCCTTGTTACGGTGGCAGTTAAAACATTCAGTACTCAAGGGGGCGATAGAGGACAAATCATATTGTGTGCAAACGGGATCTAGTTTTATTCCAACATCCGTAACAACTAAATATGTTGCCCGTCTAATCGAAAGAAGAGATGATGACATATTAATTATGTTTATATAAGCAAGAGAACTTGCTTGTGAGAAGTAGCTTTTATTGAACTGCTAGTCTGACTGTTGGCCAGAAATAAGTGGTGGCAGCCAAGAGTTTCTAGTGAGGAGAACTTGTTTAGCTGTATCTACCTAGATACCAGGAAGGAAAATCGATTGGACAATTTTCATTTGGGCATTTTAAGAACCCTTTTCTGATGCAGTTCTTGAGCTGAACATGCAGTATCAGTCATGATGCTTTCTGTGTTTGTTAGGATGACGGGTACGACATCTACCAGAACTACTGAGACCTTCCTGACATCGAGAGATCTGCTCCTCAAAGCTGAACTTCAGTAGCCTACAGCCTGCAATGTTCTGCCTTTACTGGTGAAGAATTTAAGTTTGAGTATTCATTTAACTCAGTAGACCCTCAAATATAACTCACATAAGAAGGCTTAAAGAAGACTTTGTTGTCATTATGTGTGGGCTGTAGCCTTAAGGCCCATAACTATGTGGGTCACTTGTTCTAAGTTCTAAGTTCTAAGTGTTGTTGTTTTGCATGAGTTTTGTATGCAGCAAATTAAGCACTTTCTTTGCTTTAAAAATGAGTGCAATAATGCTTCATAAGGCCTCAATTTTGAAGGCATTTTAACCCCATATTTACTCAAAACAGACTAATTCACACACACAAACATTATCTGAAACCGCTTATCCTTCTGGGGTGCTGGAGCCTATCCCAGCAGTCACTGGGCGGAGGGCAGGATACACCCTGGACAGGCTGCCAGTCCATCGCAGGACAACAGACTAATTCTTTTTTCTTTAAACACTCTTCTTTCCACACTTTACAGGAGAAGGAAAAAACCTATTTTACTTTTAATGTAAGTCAATGGAAACAGACGTTTTTCCAGGTCATTCTGGGCCGTTTCTTTTGGTCCGTTCATCATGAAATTTACATGCAATGTAAAGGTCAACAGGTATTTTCAAATTATGTCAAAAACTGAAAAATGATAAAAATGGAGATTTTCTTCCAAAGCAGCTATATATATATATGGAACATATATATATATATATATATATATATATATATATATATATATATATATATATGGAACATATATATACTGCGATGGACTGGCGACCTGTCCAGGGTGTATCCTGCCCAATGACAGCTGGGATAGGCTCCAGCACCCCACCGCGACCCAGAAGGATAAGCGGTTTAGATGATGGATATATATATATATATATATATATATATATATATATATATATATATATATATATGTATGTATGTATGTATGTAAAATATAAATATAGACATGACCTACCAGGGCCTAGATGTTGAATAAAATCTTTTTTTTAAGATTTTAAATAATCTTTTGAATATTTATACATATCTATATTTTTAAAACAAAATAAAGTATTGAACAATGTCTTTTGTATTTGTCTTTTGTCTTAACTGTGTAAAGAATATTTGTCAGTATCTGACAGTATCTGAGCCAAACACAGGACCTTTACATTTGAATTGAATTAAAAATAAGCAGTAGTGTATAAGACCTTCACAAATCAATTACATGTAAGATGTTTACATTTACATTGAATTAAAAAACCCCAACATACATCTTTGCAAATCATTCGAACGACATCATTAAACAACACGTCATCTAGTTGTGTTTAAATCTCTGCTGTAAAATCTGTCAAGAACTGATGAAGACGGATGCGATTTTATTACAACCATTGTAAACTGCCGCGGTGAAAGGGTCATCCTTTATTTATGTTTAACATGTGGCTCCTTCTACAAATAAAGGCATCACCCGCTCAGGGAAAATTGAATGAAGTCACCTCAAGCTGTATCCCAGCTGTGAAAAAGTATTTGCCCTGATTTCCTGATTTATTTTACTTTTGCATGTTTGTCTCGCTTAATTCTTTCAGATCTTCAAGCAAAAATGAATGTATTGTAATGTAATGTACAAAAACCTGAGTAAACAAAGAAATATAGTTTTTAAATGACAATATCTAAAAAAAAACACCAAAAGGTCTGAAAGGTCTTAACAAAAATAGAGGAATTCAGTTCAAAACACACAAACTGTATACATACCTGGAACTACAGGTCCTTTCCATGAGTCCGCCATCTCCTGTGAGAACTCCTTGGTTGTTTAGCTTGAAGATGCACAAAGGTTTGGTATTGCAAAGCCTGTCTCGGTCATGCAGGTTCCTCCTCTGCAACATCCAGAGAATCTTTCTTTATAGGGAGGCCACCCAAGTGCATGTTCATTCCCTCATCATCTCGAGGCTTGACTACTGCAACGTGCCCCTGGCCAGTCCTTCTACAAAGACCAGCAAACCTTTGGAACTGATCCAGAAGTTCATCTATGGCACTCTGGTGCTTCATTTTCTTCACTGGCTTCCAGCATCAGAATTTAATGCCCGGGTGCCCGCCTACAAAGCCAAAAATGGGCCGACCCCTCCTTAGCTGATGGAAATGGTCAAACCTTGTTTCATATCTCAAGCCCATTGAGCTTCAAATATGGCTTGGCTTGACCTGCCATTCTTCAAGATGCAATGGAACACAAGCATCAGAACTCTTCTACTGAAGCCCAGGTAGTGAAACCAACTCTCACTGGCTGTCCGAACAGGAGAGTCCCTCATCTCACTGGCTGAACACACATATCCTTGTTAAAACAACCTTGTACTTATTGAAATGTCTTATATTTGCACTTACCTCCGTATTGTTTATCTTTAGTCTATCTAGGTATAACTGACTCAACTGTTTCTGGCAATATTTTAGCTCAAGGTTATTTTGGACTCTGACCCAATTGTACTAGCTAAGACAAAAAAACAACAAAGCACTCTTGTAAGTAATTCTAGACAAGAGTGTCTCCTTCTAAATTAAAAAATGTCAATGTAAAAATGATAAATAGGCAAATGATAACTGAACACCCAACAAGCTACGATTAACTTGTTAATTTGTCTAGTAGCAGTGCAGTCCTAAGCACAAATGGCTGGAGTGGCTGCAGGTTTTCATTCTGAACAAGCAAGAGTACACCTGATTCTATTTCTTTAATCAACTGACTTCAGTCAAACAATTGATTATGTAATCTTCTGCTTTGCAGGAGCTTCAATTAAATTTTATATCAGCATAATAAAAGTAATCCACTTTACACTTATAGCTTTCTAAAAATGTTCTTAATTTTCAGTTCCAGCTTTTCAGTCTATCAGTTCACATCACATGTTGAAATTTTATTGTTTTAAAAAAAAAAACAGATGTCCATTTTGAATTTGATGCCAGCAACATGTTTCAAAAAGTGGGGACACATTTCAGAACAGTGAGAAGATGTAACTGAAAAACCACCTGGAACACAATCTCAGAGAGGCTGAGTCAGAAGCAAAGATGGGGAGGGTTTCACTGCTGAAAGACTATTTGGGCAAGCAATGCAACAATTCAAGAATAACGGCTTTCAACATAAAATAGAAAATAACATAGGGATTTTATCATCTACAGTACATAATATCATTAAAGATTCAGAGAAGCCAGAGAAATAATTCAGAAAACCACTGTCTGTGAACAGTTTGTCGCTGTATCCACAAATGCAAGTCTACCATGCAAAGAAGAAACCATATATAAACAGGATCCCAAAACGCCGCCACCTTCTCTGGGCCCAAGTTCATTTAATATGGACTGAGGTGAAGTGAAAAGTGTCTTGTGGTCCAACTGTTCAAAATTATTTTTTGAAAATGACATACGCCACGTCCTCTGGGCTAAAGGGAAGATGGATCATCTGGCTTGTTATCAGTGCACAGTTCAGAAATCCACATCTGTGATGGTTTAGGGGTGCGTTGGTGCACATGACATGGGTGACTTGTGAAGGCACCATTAATGCTGAATGATATTTACAGGTTTTGGAGCAACATATGCTGCCATCCAGACAACGTCTATTTCAGGAAAGGCCTTGTTCATTTTAGCAAGACAATGCCAAACCACATTTTGCACATATTACAACAGCATGGCTCTGTAGTAAAGGAGTTTGGGTGATAAACTGGCCTGCCTGCAGTCCAGACCTGTTACCTTTTGAAAACATTTCATGCTTTACAAAGCAAAAAATATGACAAAGCAGACCCCGAACTGCAAAGCAGCTAAAATTCATATCAAGCAAGTCTGGGAAAACATATCACTTTCAGGACTATAGCCACTGGTCACCTCAGTGCCCAAAACCTGTATATATCATTCAACATTAATGGTGACTTTACAGATGTGCACATCACCCATTCCTTGAGCACTAATGCACCCCTAAACCATCATGAATACTAGCTTTTATACTGTGCACTGATAACAAGCTGAGTGGTCGTGAGGAAGGAAGAGGAGGAAACAGTGTCCATGATTTCGAAAAAGAATTTCAAATGTTGATTTGATGGACCACAGGGCACTTTTCCACTTCGCCACAGTCCATTTTAAATGAGCTCGGGCCCAGAGAAGGTGGCGGCATTTCTGGGTCCTGTTTATATATGATTTCTTCTTTGCATAGTAGGGTTTTAACTTGCATTTGTGGACGCAGTGATGAACTGTGTTCACAGACAGTGTTTTTTGGAAGTGTTCCTGAGCCCAAGCAGTGATTTCTACTACAGAATCATGTCTGTTTTTAATGCAGTGAACCCCTCCCCATCTTTACTTCTGAAAGCCTCAGCCTCTCTGGGATGCTCTTTTATACCCAATCATGTTACTGATCTGTTGTCTTTGTAGTATTTTTAATTAAATATAGGGTTTAAATTATTTGCACATCATTGCATTTTGTTTTTAGTTACATTTTGCACAGCGTCCCAACATTTTTGGAAATGGGGTTCTAATAATAATAATAATAATTTTTTTGACATAACACATTTCACAACTGCTTTTTAAATGCATCTATTTCAACAACATAGTGAAAGAGTACACTCTTAAAAATGATGGTTCTTCCGGGGTTTTTAGTAAAGAAAATGGTTCTATATAGAATGAGCATGCAATGAAACCTTGATTAAAGGGTCCTTTGCATTGTTAAAGTGTTCTTCAGATTGCTGGAGAATGTGCTGTGGATGGTTCGATATAGAGCCTTCTGGAAAAGGGTTCTATATAACACCAAAAATGGTTCCACTACAGTTAGACGCTTGACATTGTAACAATCAAAGACCCCTTTTTGGTGCTATATAGAACCCTTTTAAAAAGGTTCCATATAGAACCATATAAAACACATTCTCTGTCAATCTGAAGCTCTAACGATGCAAAGAACCCATGCATGTAAATTGTTCTACATAGAACCATTTTGTTTACTAAAGAACCCTTGAAAAAACATCTTTTCAAGTGTGTATTGCTGCAGCAGGATTAATACTGTGGACAATAATAAATAAAATAGGGAAGTGTTTTACCATTAACGGTTCCAAAGTTTGGAATCACCAGGTTATTAATATAAAACCAGTTCTGTCCCAGCAAAATGATTCTAGTATGATGCTACTACAGCTTTCAGTTAATCACTATGAAGCTGTAAAATATGAATAGATGTGTCCAGATTGCTGCAGATCATTCATGAAAATGAAGTTCTAATACAGTCGTTTGCAAAGGTTTGATCACGTCTGGTCAAATGACGTGGTGTTGATTTTCTAAGTGGAAATAAGTTAACACACCATCTACAGAGAACACAGAGTAACAGTGCATTAAAGTG